CCTCACAGGCCTGCAGGTTAGTCTTATCACTAACCTAATGATGATACCTTTCCCTCTGGTGCAAAAGATGTAATTAGCTGCTACTTAATTGAGTAGGCAGATGTGAATAATCATGTCAGACTTGTGAAGCAAAGACTGAATTATAACATCCTGTGTTCAAAGCAGATGCAATCCCAGCAGGAGGAATCGATCCAGTACTATGGAATTGAGATTTAGGCTCAAGCACTTTCTTATCCTGCAGGAGCCACTTTGCAAAACAGTGATCTGAGGTGGCTGCTTTATTTGTTTACCATCTGAAACACCCATTTTAAAAACTCATTTTTTGCTACAAATTTGTGATTTATAAATAAAGACAATTAAAAATTATTTTTTCACGTGGTTTGTTGTGATGATTGATATGAATTCCAAGCATTGAAGTAGGCTGGCTACATATATAAAGTCTTGAGCAAAACTAAAAATAGAGAGAAAACTCAAAACCTTTACATTGCATATGCATATTAAAAAAAAAGCCACTAAGAAAAGATGCACTTGGCTGAGGCATAGCRGAGAGGGAAGGGGCAAAAAAAAGTCATTGTTAAATTTCCTCTTTGAAAATGGACTTTTAAAAAATGGAGTAGGCCTACCGTAACACAGAAATCCTATGAAAGGGAAAGGACTGGTGTCTTTGGATTCTAGAAAGCTTAGAAATTAATCCAAGAAGACCTAAGAAGACCTGGAAGGTGCAAAGACAAGCAGTTATGGTTGCCAACAAAGTGTTCAGSAGAGCTGGCTGGTGAGACGGGGAGGAAAGTGCTTTTCTCTGCTTAAAGAGCAGTTGCCCTTTGCGCTCTGCCCTGTGCCCTGCAGAGCTGCAGGCTCCTCTCTGCTCTGCTGTGCTTCAGCACCTCAGTAGCTAAGCAGCTACCTCATATCTACTGCCCTGGTATCTATACCTTTTATCCTCATTATTATTAAGGCTGTAAAAAAGTGGTAGGTGGTATTTAGGTACTCTTTTTTTTTTCTTTTTTTTTTTTCCCACATTTGCATGCAAAATTATCCCTTGCTAAGTTATGCTAGTGATTAACAAAGGAAGGAAGGAAGGAAACAAGTAAGCAAGCAAGMAAGAAAGGGAAAGAAAAGGCTTTGGATTTTTGGCAGGCATTGTCAATGGAAACAGGCAAACAAGCCAAGCAGCCCAGCTTTTGATGTTTTACAGGCCACTTGTGATTCATGCACTGCAGGCTGAGTAGCAATGCTTACACACTTATGTGCCCGTATATGGTTATGTGGGAAACCAGAGTAACCCTCTGATATCACTTGCATAGGAAGGTCCTTTATTCAGAATGCATTGGAGTACGTTTATTTAAGACCTTTATAAATACAGGCAAAACAATGTGACCCCTGAAGGTTAAAAAAAAATTATGAAAGACATTAGGTTGAGACTGAGAGAAAACACTTCTGAATTGTGTCAAGGTCACTCYCTTAGTGTATCTCTTCATATAAATCAGTGGGAAAAGAACTGAATATGAAATAAAACAGCTTCATTAACTGATTATTTATTACTAATAAAGGCTTATACTGGGAAGGTAACACAGAATAGCTTCAATATGCAACATTCAATACTCCCATCTTTTCTCAATGAAAACTCTCTTTGGCCTTGCAGAATTTATCATAATTTGCTTAGATCAAAGGCCTTGCTTTTCTTCTTGGCTTACATATAGTTTGAAGTTATAGAAATAACTGTATATAACTAAAAGGTTTATCTGAGTCACAAAAGAGAGAAATAGAATTGTATATTTTTGGGGGGAGGGGATCAGAAACAGCATGTAATGCAGTAAATAGTTCACTATTACATTGTTACATGAAGTATACAACCTATACTTTAATACAAGAGGTCAGGAAATGCATGCCATCTACCTCTGTAGATAACCAAAAAATGTAGTGATCAGTTTGTATGGTGAAAGGAACATGACTGGAAGGAATCAAAATATCTCTTTTGTCGTATTTAATAAAATAAATTTTAACTAGGCAGTGATCCTAATATGTTGTATTTAACCTTTAAATTMCAAAAAAAAATTAGTTGATATAGCAAAGGGGAATAGAAGGAAAAATTTTGGTAGTATTATAGAGTTTTCTGTGTATGTGCCTGCTTGAGTGCTTGGACAAGAAGACATCTATTTTCTGCATTTTTTATTAATAATAATTTTAAAAGAGAGCTATGCAATATTTTTCAAATACAACCCAAATTTTCCCTACAACTGGCAGATTTTGCTTTTGCAGTGTTTSACAAAACAGGGTAATGCTAGGTGTAAAGATTTATCCTGAAGCTCTGTGGTGGAGTCTGCAGCTACAGAGAAGAAACATCAGCCTTCGCTCCATGGTTATGGCAGTGCAGCATTATCATTCACCTCGTGCTGAGCCACGCTAGCATCGTCACCAGTGCCAGGGTGTGCTTGGTGAATGAGCAATTAACTCTAGTACTATCCTATAGATGGGAGTATCACAGGGCTTTGCAGTTTTCTTTAAATCAGCAAAAAGTGTATAACTTTTGGAGAATAGTGTATAGCTTTTTGGATGGCAAAAGACTTGGTGGGGAAAGTCTCCACTCATGGCACCCACGTTCTGGAGAGTTTATTTTAGATTAGCTCTAGTGGGATCTTGTGATCATCTGTGAGCAGTTAGTTAATTTTAAGCATGGTCTTGGCCTGTGTCCTCCTGTTTAACTTCATCCAAAGGAGGCCTTTTTACTTGCTCTGAGACTGAACTGTGAGGCAAAACAAAGCACAGTGAGTGCTGTATGACTGGGAGATTTGCTTTGAAAGTATGCTCCTGAAATAAAAACTGATATAGATGTGCTTTGGGCTAAAACCAAAGCAGTCTCCCAGAAGCAGCTCTCTCCCTTAGGCTAGAAGGAAGGTGAGAAAGAAGGAAAGATTTTGGTAGGGGAAGGGAGAGGGAAATGACAGCAACACATTCTTGATGTATTGGACTCACCATGGCAAAGTACACTGAGAAAAATAAGCATGGCCTTTGGCATTGAGCTGCCCTTGTGGATTAATTGAATGATGCCTGGGATACTGCACTTGCCCTCCCTTCTCAGAGCTACTGCCCCTGGAGTTACAGCATTTCCTAGGGTTTCTGCAAACGGGTGCGAGTGCCATTCACCATCTTGGATCATCTCCCAGTCCATCCAGTTCTGCATCTGGCCCTCTGAGTGCTGTACTCCTRTGATGCATCACGATGTAACCAGTCATACAGGACAATATTTCTTATCTGGGCATAATCCTTCCAAGGAAAGGAGTGAAAGTGAACAAGGTCACTGGAATAAATGCATATACCCAAAGTATGCACTTTGCCTAGATTATGAATGTGTTAATGTGCAATTTGTATGACAAGAAATGACAGTTCTAAATCTCTCTTCCGTAGGAGCTACTGGGCAGGAATACAAACACTGTTTTGCTTCCTCTAGAGCACTGGAAACATTACAAATGCATAATTGGGAAAAGAAAAAAGGGGTCTATTTTTTCCAATTCCAGGTGCCTAAAGCTAAGTCTTAAATCCAGAGTCAGGTATCTGTATGAAGTGCATTAATTTTTACAATTTTGTATAGCTGCACTTTTATGGCTGTGGAATCACTTTGTACTTCTGAAAATCTGTCTCTTTGTACCTTTTTTCTTTTTTTTTTTAAAGTGTGGATTTAGAAGATTTAAAATATATTCTGATGACTCTCTCAGGGCTTTTTGAGGAATGCCTTTAGATGCTATCAAAATTATCTTCCAAGAGTTCAACTAGAAATATCGAATTCTTGTATATATATACAGCTCTGCGGATTTATAGAAGAGGAAAGAAACACTTGCTAKCAATTTCTTGCTTGCTTGCTTCAAGACTCAAACATCAAGAAAATGTCAAAACTCTCTTACTAAGAGAAAAAATTCTGCATGGCCTGTAGACTAACATTCATGTCTTGATTGATCTCAGTTTTTGCAAATGATTTTACTGGAAACATTGTGCTACAGCATGTTTTTTGTCTGCCAGTGTTCTGTGCTTCAGAGAAAGACAAAACAACCAATAACTCCTTAACAATAAAGTTAAAGCAAATGACAAAGAAAATCAGTCGCTCATATTTCTATGATGTCTGGACGCCTGATGATGCCATTTTAAACAACTCTGGGCATCCTGTTAGGAGAATTTCAAAGGGTCCAGCTGCACGCATTGAACAGAATGTGTCCTCTGTCCTTTGAGGATACTCCAAGCACGGATCTCGAAGCCAAACTCACAGTGTGGTCACCTCATGCCTGACGGGTGACCTCCTGCATGCCTAAGCTACTGCAGTGTAAGTCCACGCTAGGACAAGCTGCCCGCCTGGTGGTGAGGCTACAGGGAGCACAGCCAGCCTGGCTCTCCTCACAGCTGCCTTGTAAAGGTCGTGCAGGATTCCCGAAAGCCAAACCAGACTGAGCTGTGATGCCTTGTGGAAACAGAGGTAGGAGAGTATAGCATAGCCTCTTAAGAGGTGTAAGACAACAACGTTGGTCTTCTAGGAAGGACATTTCTGCTTTGCCACATCAGTCTTTGTATCTACCTGCCTTTGTAATCTTGCCGTGTAATCTTGCCACTTAATAGGTATCTTGCTGTTTCAATTAAAAAAGAAAATGGTAGAAAATGGATGAAGTGGGGTGCAGCATAAATTACTAAAAGATTAACAATTTATTAGCAATCACCAAGAGCGCTGTAGTTGTTTAATTCACTAGCTGTTCTTCTATAACAGTTAATAAAAAGAAGTCTGGCTGCAAGGGCCCAGTATGTTGCAATCAGCTAATTTAACAATACCCAGTTTCACAACAAGGTTTCATTTAGGCATAAAAGAGGAAGTCAGTCAACCATCCTGCTGCACAGTTAGTTATAAAAACCCTCTTCTCTTAAGAGACTTTCTTTCTATACTTCTACTCCAGAAATCAAACACGTATAATTTTAGAAGTATATTTAAAAATAGCAATAAAAACAGAACATCACGTTTTGGGGGTAGGACAGACTTACAGGAAGCCTTAAGTTATTTGGAAGAGAGATTTTCTGTACATGGTCAACTGCTGTATCTCCGGAGGTAAGAACTTAAAATATATCTTCTACTATATAAACGTATGAAAGCGTTGCTCTTGCTTATCAGTATGGCATGGTCTGTTGCTTGGGACCACAGCTTGTGGCTAGTAAAAGGAAGCTTTTTTTTCTGACTTTTTCTGACCATCTTGAATGCGGTGTATGTTTGTGCAAACATCTTGCTGTCTTGAATGCAGTGTATTCAGGCTCTGTCCTCATGCAGTTTCTACTGAAGTAATGAAAAGGAAAAAGCATGATGAAAAGACTATCTTCTGTCTTACAGACCAAGTCTAGCAAATCATGGTCTAAATAAAGCTCTAAAAAAAAAAAAAAAAAAAAAAAAAAAAAAAAAAAAAAAAAAAAAAAAAAAAAAAACCCAACAAAAAACCTCCACAAAACCTGATTTTCTAAAATACTTTAAAGACTTTCAGAAACTCATGCTAAATAATGTCTGTTTTGGAACACTTTAAGAGGAGTCTTACCAGTTATATTGCTTTTATCATGATTATTGTTATTTATCATGATTATTGACTTTTGTGTGCATAATAAATAGGAGACTTTTCTGGATAAAAGATGGTGGCAAGAAATAGAAACAAGGAAATGTTATTGTATTTTCACAGCAAATTGTTGGTGCGCACCCCCCCCCCCCAATGCACAGCCCCCTGTCAACATCCTCCTTTTCCCCCTTGCCAAAAAGATGTAACTTTAATATTTCAGTGCTACTTAGAGCACCTTCCTTCTGGGAAACCCCTTCAGACTTTTTTGTCTTTTGTGCTCTACCATTTATTCTTTTCACTTCTGAAAAGTATGCTCTCATCTGTAACAGTGCATAGGCATTTTTTCCTTTTACTTTGTCTGTTCAGATACAATTTGTTTCAATTGAAATATTTCAGTCATAACAACTGAAAACTCAAAATATACTCAGAAATCCAGAAACATGAGATGATTTCTATCCCAGAAAGAGGTGAAGTGCAGAAGTATCATGTAATCAGCTTATTCTTACCACATGGAAACCAATATTTTTTTCTCATGTTTCATGTTGTTGCTTACAATTGCATGTGTTAAATGTAAAATGCTATCAGATCAGAATAATGGGCCTTAAAACAACTTTGTATGGGTATAGCTGATTAAGGAAAGTGTGGAAATGACAAATCAGATACAAATGAGAGACTCATACCCAACTGATAAAATAGGATGAGAAATTATTTAAGAGCTTGATGAGCTATATTTATACAGATTTCATTGTATTTTYATGGAAGTTTGTCCCTAGAAACTCCACTTATTAAAGGATACATCCACATTCCAAACCACATTTTTTAATGAAAAGAATCACCTGCTCCCAGAGATCACTGCCATCGGTTTAGCATGGTTAAAAATGGGTAGACGCTAACAAGAACATTCAATATTACAATACACATTATCATTTATCTGTGATCTTGGTGGAGGAGGAGATCTCTTCCCTCTATTGCTTCCTTCGGCCTACCCTGTCCGGAAACACAGGATTATCACACTCCCAGCCCTTTTCTATTTGTTTCCCCTAAAACAGCCCCAACTTCCCTCGTGGTAGTGCCGCTCTTAACTACCCTGTGTCTTTTGAGCTGTTGATATGGGAACCAAGAAGAGGAGCTCAGTTTGTATTTTCTTCTGTGGAAGGATGGCAGGGCCTGAGTTAAAGGCAAGCAGTGGAGTGGGCAGGTAAAGCTCACAACTGCTGCTGCTATAAAAGACCACAACGTGTCCCAGGGATACCAGTGATTCCAGATTTTCCATAGTGGCAGTAGGGAAGGAGGATAAACATGCAGCAGGTAGAGCAGGGATGCTTGTGCGGAAGCCTGACTTCAGGGGGTCTTCTGCTGAGGACAAAGTGGGCTAACTCCTGCCTTCAAGAGCAATCTTGCCTAATGTGGTTAAGACTTAAAATTAGTAGATTTCCAGCATTAAGGAAAGACCAGATTCATCCATTTGCATATTTCATTATACTTTCTTCTTTACTGAGGATTTGCCCCCTCATGGGGCAGCCTGAGGGCTGTTTTGTTCCAAAGCTGGTGGAAAGTAGAGAACAGCTCTGCAGTGTGTGTGGGCTCAATGCTCCAGCTGCCCTGCTTGCCAGGGAAACTCATCCACCCATGACCTGAACAGAGATGGGTCCCAAAACAAACTGAAGGACTTTATGTGTGAAAATGGGAAAAATACAACAAAAATCCATCCTCAAGACAGAGAGACTTTACCATCTGAGGTCCATCTACTAAGTAACCAAAAACTTAAGCTATAACCTGCAGTATCATTTGAAGTCTGGCTACCAATGGGACACTTTCAATGCCATTGAGAACTTAACTTAGGAGCCTAAAGCCATACTCCATCCAAAGGGACCTCTTTTGGGAGCTTTTCATTTGGGAGCTTTTTTCAGAGAAGTAAAGGATGTTTTTAAGATCACAAAGTGCTGAAGATTGTGTAAGATAGTAAAGATCGAGTAATAAAAATCTTCTGCCTTCAATATATTTGTATGGTGTGTAACCCACCAAGGCAGTAGCCATCTAAAGAAAAATCCCCATTTTCACCTCACATGCAAAATGCATCACATGAAAATTGTAGACCAGATTGTTTGCCTGTGTGCAATGGGGTTATGTGACCTTTTTCAGGAAAAGGAAAGCAACTATAATTGAGCTTAAGGTGTTTAAGATCCAAAATATTGAAAGGCCCTATCTATTGTCTGGAATATTGTGTATCTGTATCTATATATACACACAATGGAAGGGACTAAGAAGAGATGGGACATGAGAAAGAACGAGGGAAAATAGTCACCCTTATCACATGTAAAATGCAAAATTTAAGGCTGACCCAATTGTGTGAACAGCCATTGGAAGAGAGGCAGTAACAGCTTTCCTCTACATGGCTGTGTATTATAAGTGTGAGGCCCATAGAAGACAAAGGCACCTCTCTTCTGCATTCTGGCTCTATTCAGAATTCCAATTTAATTCCTTACAGAGCTGAGAATATTATCAGATTAGAGCTAAGGTCCCTGCCAACTTTAAAAGAGAAACTAGTAACTTATTCAACCAAAGAGATGGGTTTTGGGTGTGATGTGAGCCTGAGCTTTTTGAATTTCCCAGTTCTTTTGTTTCTACTGCTGCCTCAGACTGCATGCTCTAAACTCTGAAAATAAGTACTGCAGAATGCTTCGTGAAGAAATGAAACCAAGAGTTTCATTTCCCTAATGTATCACCTTATGACAAGAAACAAGATGCATCTGGGTAGCAAAAAAAAAAAAATCACATGCTACCTGAACACAAATGCCTTTTTGTAACATTGGTTAAAAAGTGAATACCTGTGTTATGTTTCCCTTCATTTCTCAGAATCAGCATTAAAAATAAGCATAGGAATAAGCGTATAACTATTCCAGAAGGATGCTTGTATAAATTATTGGTAACGGAGTAAAGCCATCTGAGCTACAGATGCAGGGGGGAGGGGAAGGGAATGTCTTTTGCACAGCAAAAAGAGAAAAAGGGAGGAGAAAAGAAAGGAGATTAGTTTCTAATCAGAGCAAGATTTCTGTCGCCGTACCTTAATCATGCCTAAAACCTAACACAAATAGGAAGCAGAATGCTTCAAGAAATGCCAAGACCCAAACATTTGCTTCTCATATAGGTAATTATATATCACTAATTTTGGCCTAATGGAAACCAATTTACACTCTTATGCCTTCATAGGTCTCAGCCCATCCATCCAACCCCATATCCTTTTACCAGGGTTATAACAATCTACGGTAAATCCCATGCTACTTGCAGCAGTGAAGAGGAACCAGGTTCTCTAAAGAGAGTGTCTGGACACATTTAATTTTCATGAATACTTCCTTCTGAAATCATTTTCTCATGGATCCTCCTTTATAACTTAGTTTTTTCACCTGAGGAAAAGTGCTCTCTTCTTGTTCCCAACTTCCAGATAAAGTTTATATCCACAACAAGACAGAATTTAGCCAACATTTATCATAGTGTGGTATTTTGCAGTAGTAACTGTAGTACATGAAACGCCTTATGGAGAATTGAAAATCTTTTTGCTTTTGTAAAAGAGCAAAAAATGTGCCATGGTTGGTATGAGATGTGCCAGAGATGCCACCTTCTCTCTCACAGCTTGTGCAAATACCTTCCAACTCCGGTGCTCCTTTGCAGCTGGTGTTTTGAAATAGTTAAGCAAACTGACAAGTAACTGGGGCATGTCCATATCTGTACAGATAAAATCCATAAGGATTAACAGTATATAATTAGATTAACAGGTAAATGAAGAAGATTACTCACACTTAAAACAGACTATTTCCTCATCACATAACACAGAAATATTACAGAAAGAGAAGTTCAAAACATTGTAAGTACTTTCTCTTGGCTGGATCACACAAAATTTCCTTATGATATTTTTCTTGGGGTTCTCCCCGCCCTCCCCTTGCCATTTTCTTTTAAAAAATAAAAACGAAACAAAAACCCAGGTGGAATTAAGAACAGCTATGCGGTAGCAGAACTCCTAGAGCCTGGGTAGGGCATTTGCTAGTATGTAGGTGAATGCATGTCCTTGCCTTTAAGTCCCATCTTTCAGCACTAACATGTCTGAACAGCTTTTGACACTGAGCTGCCTGCTCAGAGGCTGGAGAGACAGTGACTGCTGGGGCCTGACTGTGTCTTGGTAGGAAACTGATTTCCAAGCTGGTGGTACTCATGACTAAACCAAGATACTCTTGCCTGAACCAAAAGCTAAGGGGCTGGAGTAGTTGAGTGTCTTCCTATGGGAACACATTGCACTGGAATGYGTCTCATCAGAAGTATGCTGCAGATTTCTACGTCCGGGGTAGTTGGTTTAAATGTCCCTTTATAGTAACTGCAAAGAGAGATAAGCATATCTAGGGCACAACTTGTTTCATTCTGATAAAGGTGTTTAAAGTGGGCCATATGAGTCATTCCTCCAAATTTCCTCCAAGCTTTAAGGGTAGATAGGGCAATAACCTTAAATGTGGCCATTACACCTATTATGTTTCAAAGTTAGAGACAATTTCACTCTGCTAAGCATGAAAAATGTATAGCAATTTAATAATCTGACATTCGGGTTAGGTAATACTCTTAATGTGTGTGTCAAATCAACATAGTTCAGAAGCAAGTGAAAAATTACACAGTGAAAGGGGCTCTGAAGTATACAGGAAAAAATAAAAAGAGAAAAGAAAGAGTGGCCTCAATAATGTTAAATGAAAAGCTATAAGTATTTAAATGTAAGTCATTATACCAAGTACCATTTGGTGGTATACCAATGGCATACCACTTCCCAGCGCTAGCCATCAGCTATGCTGTGTGCAGCATAAATGTGCCATGTTTAAAATACTTGGGTGCTACTAACAGCACAAGGAGACTAGTTGATGACCCCACTCATTCACTTGAGTCATCTAGGTCAGAGAGACTCATGTTAATATCTGAATCAGAAACACCTCTCTGCACCTAGTAACTAATGGTTTCTTGTCATTTTTGTCTGTTGATTGAATCCCAGTGGTAACTACTTGATTTGGTTCTTTACTTGTCCTTCCTTCCCTCCAAGGATGCTGTCGGAAGGCTACCTTTACCGGATCGCTTACCTCTGTGAGGATCGCTTCAGCTCTGAGCTCTACAGAGAGGCAGCAGCAGAGGAGGTGGCGTGTGAGATGAGGTCCATGAGTGGCAAGTGTTCTTCCACGGATGAAACACAAGGGAAAAACCTCTCTCAGAGACGCAGATCTGCTGGCAAGTGTGTTTCCTCGGTCCGCTATAAAAACAGCAAACACACCGGTAAGCAGAAGGATGATCTGCCACGGCCCACCCAGCACCCAGCGATGGAGGGCCGGACACTTCCAGCTGCGGATGCCTGTGAAGGACTGACAAGAAAAGACACGTACCTGGTTCCACCTTCCTGTAAAAGCATCTGTAAGAACTACAATGATTTGCACATCGCGGGGGACTACGTAGTGCCCATCAGCTCCGTGGCAACGGATTTTACCTGCGACAGCGGGATAGGCCCTTTCCTGGAGTCCTCAGAGATCCCGCCGCCGCTGGAGTCGGTGAGGACTCCCCCCAGCGACGCGAGCCGCAAACCAACACAGGGCTACTCGGCGTGCTGGCGAGTGGCCAGCCTGGTGCCGCACCACCAGCCCCTCTCCGACTCGGCCCTGAACGACTACCTGGAGCAGAAGCTGCTGGAGCTGTACAAGCAGTACATCATGGACAGCACGGCGAGCAGGGCCTCCCCCACTCGGATCCTGGCCTCCGAGCTCATCATGACCAACGTGGATCAAATCAGCATGCAGATATCACGAGAGAGGAATATGGAGACCACCAAGGCCAAAGACATTGTCATCAGCCGTTTCTTACAAATAGCCAGCGAAAAAATATCCTCGGAAATTAGCACACCCAGTCTGCATATTTCTCTGTATAGCAACACTAATGCATAACATTCACATATCTGTAGTTAGAAAGCTGTATGTTCTGCAAAGTCAGTATTCAGATTTTTCTTTTAAGACATCTTGCTGCTTTGTAAAAATACATTTTCAGGCTATCACTTAAATTAAGCCTTCCAGTAAATATCATTACTTTTTTAATATCTGTACTGTGCAGCCCATAGACCATGGACCAGATTTACAATTAAAAAAAAATCCCAAAAGCTTTTTTCAGTGAGCATCAAACTTCAAAAAGTTTGGTAGAAAACAGACCAAAAGCATATGACACTCTTCCAGGAGTTCAGGTATTATTGTCTCCCCTAACCGCTACCCATCTCATTTTAGCTTTTCTCCTCTCTCAGGAATGGGCCATGCAGCCTGTGGATCAGCATGAACTAAAGACTAACATCTGTGCAAACAGTCAGGGTAGCGATAGAACTGCAGGAGCAGAAAAGGTCCATTTTCCCGTCTCTAAAACCAGTGCTACTTATGACATCCCTGAGGATGTTTTTAAACCTACTTTTAAGGATAACAGGTGAAAAACCACTTTACAGTTTACTCTGCAATAACTAGAAATTCTATTGGTATCTTCCTGTTTAAAAACTATCAACCCTTTCTATGACCCAAGCAAAGTTTCTTTGGTTCCCCAAGAGAGTTCATCAGTAGCAGCGTGCACGTGCATCTGTGCATGTGCACTGAGCAGAACTTTAACCAAGGATGCTCACAGCCTGTAATCACACATAGGCCCCTCGTTTGCCATACAGTTATATACAGGCCTGCAACTTTGGAGCACAAGTCAAAAGCAAGACAAACTTGAAGAACACAGGATCCTAATCTTCATGCTATAAAGGGAATATTTCATAAGTGACAAAATTAATAGTCTGTTTTAGGCCTTCCAATAGAGCATAGATGTAGCGATAATAGAAGAAATAATAGAAGAAAACAGCAGAAAAAGAGTTGATTTTTGTTAAGAGAATTCCAAATCAAAAACTCTAGGCGCTTTTACAGTGAATAAATTCACTCCTCCACATGCTGAAGGAAAATTGAAATGAACCACTCGAGAGAGGTCAAGAGGTGCATGCTCATAATTAGTAACACACTTGTTTGAGCCTGTTACCACTTTCTAATTTTACTGTCTGTAGATAACACCTTTTCTCACTATGAGCGTAGTCATATCATTTCAAAATAATCTGATGCATTTTACTAACAAGGTCCTTTACAGGAAAATTTTGCAAAACTCTAAAGCAAACAAACAAAAACCCAGACAAAGACCCTAAAAAACAAGCAAAAACAATAACAACAACAACAAAAAACAAGCAATGTATTGTATTCAAGGATGAGCACCTACTTTAAATCTGTATGATATATAAAAATATACCATCAATGCTAATCAGTTGAGTTGCTAAGTATCAGTATAGTGCAAATAGTAATTTATAATAGGTCAGATGTTTTCAATTTAGTGATTCAGAGTTCTTTTTTCTTTTAAATGTATAAAGGCATATTTTTTTTGTGTGTATATATATATGGCATATTTTTAATATTATATTTTTCAAATAAGTGTAAAATGGTAAATGTGATAGTTTATTTTGTTGGAGCTGTCTTTCCAGAAATTACAGAAATAGCTCAGTATAGTTTTCTGCTTGTGTAATGAAAAAGTATCCCRAAAAAGCCTTCATGTGTGAATTCAGACATTGTACATCTGTTGCCATAGCAACCTACTCTAATATATTATTCAGCATTTTGAGAATGAATTTCCGCCCAACATTTCTTGACTTTGATGAAGTTCAATCTACAAATAAAAAATGGTTTTTTTTTTAATAGGAGAAATTTAAAGAGAAACAAATGTTAATAGCAATGTATAAACAGTTATGCAAATCATTCTTAAAAAATCACTAGAAGTATCTTATAATCTTTGAAATTTCCCAATAGAAAAGCACACAAAGCAAAAATAAGTAAATATTGTATTTTTTTCCTCCTACATATACATGTTCAGTTTTAAAAAGGATTTTTTTCATTCCCTTCTGACATTCATGTGACTAACTTTAAGTTAGCTAGAAGAGATTTCCAAAAATAAATACCCTTGTTGAAAAATCTTGCATCTTTATCAGACAATGTGACAGTTTCCTGCAAAAAAMTCAACCCTGATGATTGCACCACACCCTCTGTGCACCACATACCTGGTGAACCAAGCAGTGGCTTTATCATCTGAGGACCAGATTTTCAGATTTTTTGACTACAGTTAATAATTAGAGGAAATATATTAGTTTGTCATAGGCTTAATTTTGCAAACAGTTTTAGGAAATAGGAACAGCATCCAGTGAATAATGATTAAGAAACTTACTCAGTCCAAAGTAAAAATACAGTTGCAGCTACCGAGCTCACCTAGAACTAAGGTGTCAGAGTGCTATGAGAGGGACTTGGGACTCAGTATTGAAARGAAAGTGCTGTTATAACAAAGCAGCAGAGCAGAAAGGGAGATCTTTAAGATAGCACAACTTGTTCTTCTAGAGGGAAAATTTGATACTTAAAACTTATCAATTACAAATCATGTTATTTTTATATAGCCTCCTCCCAAGCAAATCATCTAACACAACAGCCATGTAAATGCCTTATTGCATATCACTAGGCAAAATGTTATTCTGGGAAGGGCCATAATTACTGCAGGAGCTGATTTATCCTAGAGAAGGAGCACACAGCCACCTCATACTAAACACAAGTGGTTTCTTTTCCCTTACCTAAACATACATTTTTATTTCACCTTAGCCCACCCCCCCCCCAAAAAAAAAAAAAAAAATTACCATCCCACTCCCTGCATCAGCAGCACCACCTAATTTTCAGTTTCTTAAGATTTCTACATAAGTAGGCAAACATTTCTTACTTTCTCCTGCCCTCAGCTGACAGCTCATTTATAGCTCTGGCCTTTCTCCCTTGCAAACTAATCCTCCTCTGTGCAGGTGCCTCTCCAGGTGCGGCTGCTTCCTGGCTAAGAGTGCTGGAGAGCAAGGAGGCTGCTATTAAGATGAGTCAGRCTCTTATCTAAAGAGATTATTATCTCTCTCCATCCTCCCTCCTCTTTTGCCTTGGGGTCAAACATTTAAAGAGAGAGACTTCTCATTTTCAGTAGCTCTGTTTAATTACCCTTATTTTTCTTTCTGCGTGGATCATAAATTTTTTACATAAAGTTATCAAAATACTAATGGATTTAGGGGCAGTGTTTTTTTTAAAAAAAGAAGAGCCTGAATCCTAGTCTCACAATGCTTCCAAATAATGAGRCTATTTTAATATGACTAAGGTAGTTCATGAAGGCAAATAAAATTGCAATCAATCAGTCAATCAAGAAATTGCAATAACTGGTTCATCAGGTGTTATTTTGGCCAGCTGTCAAGAAATGCAGAACTTCAGTTTATAACCACCTTTGGCACATTCTGGGAAGTTCCTTAGGAGTTTTTTTTTTTTTTTTTTTTTTTTTTTTTTTTTTTTTTTTTTTTTTTTTTTTTTTTTTTTTTTTTTTTTTTTTTTGTGGAATCTATCATTCATTGCTGGTTGCATGATTATAGTATCTAGGAGTTTTACTATTTATGTACAAAGTAACTGTGATCTTAAGGTCATGCATCTTAAGGATGTGAGCATGGCAGTGACACTGTGAACTTCCAGAAAGGGGATGTGTTAGTGTGAAGAGCATCATCCTTTAGATGCAGAAAGGTGAGGGAGAAGGAGTTTGTCAAGGATTTGTTGCAAGCAGAGTAACCTATAGCTGCTGCCTTTGGATTTAACATCTTAGTTCTTTTGATTATTTCTTCTGCTTAGCAAGCACTGACGGGGAAGGATAAAAAGTGCACGCTAAGTTACATGCTGGATGTGGAAGTGTAAATTTTGTGCTCCGATTGCTGTGTCTAGATGAACATAAAACACTAAGCATCAGGGGYGAAGTGGATGAGTATGAAGCTCTGAGTAGAGCTAGGGCATTGTTGGGGTTTCATCCTAAGACACCTGCTGTGGGCCTGGAGCCTCCCCATGTGAGCGGTTGGGTGGGAGCACCCGAAGATTCAGTTTGGTCCTTTAAAGGCTTGGAGTAAAGGAGAATTACTGAGGACTCACCCTCCTCTCAAACTCCTCCRGATTTCTCCCAGGACCTTCAGAGGATGTAACCTGTTGCTAGGATAAATGGCTTGGGGAATAAGGGAGTACGTGTTTTTACCCTATTTATTGCAATAACATAGAATGGCTCTATTACTAGTGTGGAGGGGTGATGTGTGTGTTGCTCCCGCAGATTAGGGAGGGTTAATTACTGATTCATGGAGGTCACTCAGTTCTAATTTTGAACTGATTAGAAGTTTTAATACAGTGTATAGATCTGAAAGGCCTGTTGCACTTTTGCTAATTGATGAAGTTAATAACTTTCCACAAAACCTAATTGTGTCCTGTTACGTATTTGGAAAGGGGACTATGYCCCTGTGACAGCTGATCTGCACCTTCTTGGCATCCCCATCATCAGAGAAGCAAACTGTCTGACTGACTGATACAGCAGTTAAGAATARTGCTGAGAAGAAGCAGCAGTTTCTCCAGCTATGCTAATTATACAAATATAATCATATATAGTTGGCCTCTGCTCAGTGGGACCATGGCAAATACCTCTGTCCAGAAACTGCCTCGGGGCTGTGTTTATGCTGAACAAAAAGAAGCACTTTCTGGGAACTCTTTATGGACTCTTCTACAGCTTAGAATGGATACCTAAAAATAAATGACAAGTGAAGCAAGAGGATTTCAAGCTGGAGCAGATGCATTCTGCACGTGCTAGYGCTACTTCTGCTTTTGCACTGCTCTATGAGGAGCACTGCTTGCCTCTCCCTGGCACTCTCACAGGGCCAGGGTGACTTTTCAGAATATCCAGCCGCTTTCTAAGGGCCAAAGGATAAGCGTCCTGTTTGCGACGCTCAGCCCTGGGCTGCTGTCACCCTTTGGGGGCCCTCTGTTAAGCTCTGTGGTGGATAAACTGCCCTGTCCGAAATGGAAATCCCTCATCCAAGGGAAAGAGCAGTGCCCTGTTTTGAATGTCTAATTTCTATTGAACTGTAGGCTCCCTTTCTCTCAGCAGGAGGTTTTGTCTTTCCAAAAGGCTTGTCTTCGCATGCTCCTTTTGCCAGTTCAAAACTCCCTGGTGTCCCCCACGGTTCCCACTCTTCTCTTGCCTYCCGTTTGGGGACTTGACTGACCTGCACGATACTCTCTGCTTATCTGCTTCCCTTTAGTGCAACCACARAGCCAGACGTTAGTGCACCTGGAATCCACAGAGAAGGACACCAGGCATCCCAAGAATGCCCTGCAGATGGATGCAGATGGATCGTGGCCTCAGCACCACGTCCACGTCCCGCTCAGCACCGGAAGCTGATGGGAACCTTGCAGACCCTGCCTTGTGAAATATCCCTGCATCCTGCGGGCAGCTGGGRAAACAGGTTTCACAATCTTGTGGTGAAGAAACTTTAAGGGAGGGCAGCTGAGCAGGATTGTTCTGGGAGCTGCAGCCCAAGAGCCATAGAGCAAGGAGCAGAGCCTCGGGGCTCATACWGCCCCATGGCCACACGTGGACCGTGGGCTCTGGAGGGGCTGTGGGGGTGGTGGGAGTCCCCCAAGGGGAATAAAGCTGATTTCTCAGAAAGCCAAGAATGGGAACAGAAAAGGCATTAGTCACATCATGTGGCTGTGTGGCAGCTGGTCCTCGGGCACTCTTTTCATAGAATCATAGAATGTTTAGGGTTGGAAGGGACCTCAGAGGTCATCTAGTCCAACCCCCCCTGCACATGCAGGGTCACCYAGAGCACGGGGCACAGGGTTGCGTCCAAGCGGGTTTTAAAGATCTCCAAAGAAGGAGACTCCACAACCTCTCTAGGCAGCCTGTTCCAGGACTCTGTCACTCTCACTGTTAASAAGTGTTTTCTTAAGTTCCTGTGGAACTTTTGATGTTTCAGTTTGTGGCCATTTCCTCTAGTCCTATCCCTGTCCACCACTGAAAAGAGGCCGGCCCCTCCTCCTCACTGTCTCCCTCCCTTGAGGTATTTATACACGCTGATCAGGTCCCCCCTCAGCCTCCTCTTCTCCAGGCTGAACAGGCCCAGCTCCCTCAGCCTTTTCTCATAGGGCAAATGTTCCAGGCCCCTGATCATCCTGGTAGCCCTGCGCTGGACTCTCTCCAGCAGCTCCACATCCCTCTTGTACTGGGGAGCCCAGAACTGGACACAGTCTTCAGATGTGGCCTCACCAGGGCTGTGTAGAGGGGGACGATCACCTCCCTTGACCTGCTGGAGATGCTCTTCTTAATGCATCCCAGGATCCTGTCAGCCTTCTTGGCCACCAGGGCACACTGCTGCCTCATGGTCATCTTGTCATCCACCACGACAC